CATTTAGATGCAACCATATTTCATAAAAACCAAGTGAAATAAATGGGACATACATTGGTCTCGTGACTGATTTGTCTGTCAAGAGTTCTCAAGTCATATCCAATTTATGGCAACTCTACATGGGTTTTGAAGATATCTAAGTGGTTTTACCATTATGCACACCCCGTGTTTCCTTGTCCAAGAGAGGATCTGAGTCTCCAAGTCTATCTGCTGCACAACACTGAGTCTATTTTAAATTCCATTAATGTAAATGTGTTTACAGTATGCTTAAGTCTAGATTGAAGACAATATTTTAAGAATTAGATTTTTCGTTTATCTTGCCCGGCACTGCATGTCTCACAGTAACTACCAAGATCACCACCACCTAATTTTGCCTTGTGCCTATTTAATATGTCTGATATTACCAATATCCTATGTAATATTACCGTATATCTAAAAGAAACCACACATATTGTTGCCTTAGAGAGTGGTGGAAGCAAAACTTTCATGGACCTCACATTATAATTTTGAAACATGTACAGTGGTGCCTCGCTTAACGGGCGCCCCGTTTAACGATGAAATCGCATACCAAAGAACTTTTTGTGATCGCTTTTGTGATCGCATTGCAATGTTTTAAATGGGGAAAAATCGCTTTGTGATGATCGGTACCCTGTTTTGCTTACCGATTATCGCAAAGCGATGATTTTCCCCCAGCTGATCGGCGGTTCCAAAATGGCCACCAGGTAAAAACATGGGCACCCACTGTGTTTAGGGCCAGATTCCTCGCTTACCAGGCAGTGAAAATGGCCGCCGTATGGAGGATTTTCGCTTAAAGGTCAGTTTTAAGCCCATAGGAACGCATTGAGGGGGTTTCAATGCATTCCTATGGGCTTTTTAAAATCGCATAGTGACGAAATCGCTTTGCAGCGATTTTTGCTGCACCGATTAACGTCGCTATGCGAGGCACCACTGTAACTCAAAAGCTTGGAGTCATTGGGAGGCTGGCAACTCTACACATTCTTCCTTACTAAAATTATTTGGTCAATTGCTATCCTGAGGCTCTAATAAAGTATTAACGAGCTTATTTTCCAGAAAATTAGCTCAAGATTTGGTTGGGATAACTATGCACTATTTTTCATGCAGTTCGGCTATAACTGTTGTAACTCGGTTGTGTAAAATGACTAAGGACCAGCTTACATGTTTAGAATACGCTAAACATTTCCTCTTACATAGACATCACCTTCAGTAATAATTTAAATTGGCTCTTGGCGATATTTGTTATTGCCATATGTAAAGAAATAAGTAAAAAAACCAAGCATAAATATAGCTCTAAAATGAATAGTCTGGTATCCCAAGAGTGGCTAGTGCACAGTAAAGGATTTACCAATGTCAAGGTCAGTTCAGCTTTTTATTTATCAAAGTTAGTGAAGATTAATGAGTTGTCTTGAAGGACTTCAAACTGAATTGAAGTTTGCCTTTGTCTTATCATTTATCTGCTAAAGAATCTTGTAAGTTTATTTTTTCATGAATGAGACCCAATGCAGGATGTTGGTCAAGTGATATCAGTTTGAATTATTTTCAAAAGTGAAAAACTATAGCTTAGAGGAAAAGAAAAATCCACATGTGAGCTTAAGCCCCCCCCCTTGCCTCTGAAAACTGTTATGGCAGTGAGATATGTGCTTACAGTTCACAGATTTCATAAAATCTGTGTGTAAAGGAAAATATTTGGATAACATTTTAATGTGCATTCTGTGAATAATAGAATACCAAATCTCCTTGGCCATTTTATTTTTTTTAATGAAGAATCCTGAGCTATCACCTTGTCTTCACTGTTTTATACTCTTTTTTCAATAGTCTTAGAGTATGGTTACACTTTGGAAATTAGTTGATAGCTGGATTGGAGATTTCGAAATGGGATTAAAGTCACATGGTAGTGACATGGTATTTGGATCACTGTGTTTATGTCCTCTTGGTAAAACTTTTAATTTGTTTTAAAACGATGTTGTGTATTACTTGAGGTTGTTAAATGGGCTGTTAAAATCATTGTTACTGGAACTTTGTCTTGTGCCCAACTTTGTGCTGGCCACTTACTGCTGTGGTATTATTTTAAATATTGTTTTATTTCTTCCAAATTGGCATATCACTATGTCAGTATTAGAGATGGCAAAATTAAAGAAAGGTAGCCAATAAGAGGAGGAAATTTTACTTAGTGTCTTTTTTAAAAAATGCTCCCTGACCAAACAACAACAATATTCAGAGCTATACTTCATGTAAATTGATATTTTTAAATCCATTGCAATTCCTTCAGTCACTTTGCATACAGTTTTTTTTATTTTTTATTTTACATATAAGTGCTCCCCTAGGTGTTCCTTTCAAATTGAAAATAGTATCCGGTTTCTCTCTCTCTCTCTCTGTATGTATGTCCACCTTCATTCTTATCT